CTAGACTTTGCTCGGATTGCGAGCGCGCTGGTAGTAGTCGTGGGCGTCACCAGTCACCTTGGGAGCGGAGCTGCTCTTAGTCCTAGAAGATGTAGGATTGCGAGCGTGGGTGCTAGCAATCGCACAGAGATGCTACGATTGCGAGGAGTGCTGCTCACAATCCTTCGACTTCTAGGATTGAGAGCGAGGCTGCTCTCAATCCTTCCGGTCTAGAAAAGAAGGTTCACCGCCACATACGCTGAAAAGTCGTCAAAAGCAGAGGAACTCTCAAAAGCAGCGCCCGCCCGGGAAGGAAAACTTGCGAACAAACATACCGCCAGGACGCCGCCCCTCGAGCATCGGAATAGAGAGAGATTTTTAGAAGCCAACAAGAAATGTCGCAAATGTGGCCCCCCGAGTGATTTGGGCTCGGCAGCTTGTCGACTACCGGCCGAAGCCGGAGTCGGAACCGTAGCCGAGATGGTCTTCGAGGGTGTCGAATATGTCATTCGCCTCGCTAGTGGAGCCGGTGCCGCGGAGTCGCGGTCGGAGGAGGAGTCGTCGTCTTTCTTCGCGGCTGCGAGCTCACTCACTTTGTTTGGCGACCGCACTCCATCCGGGGTCGAGACCTGTGTTTCTCCGCGTTCACCCTTGGGGACCCGCTGTGGGCGGGGAGGGCCCCTGCACACAGCGCGGATGTGCCCAAGGCACGAGGGCAAGAGCAGGCCGGGTTCCCTCGCTTGGTGCGACGACGCGGCCTCTCACTCGCTCTCACTCGGACGCCTCGCCGCGCCCCGCCACGACCAGCCCACAATGGGGAAGGGCCGTCTCGGCGCCGTCAATGGCGGCCGCGCGGCGCCGGACATAAAGAACAAGATCAAGCGCCAGCAAGTCTACCACAAGCTCAAGCGCGAGGGCGGCAAGGCCCAGCGCAAGGCGCGCGCGCTCCGGCAGAAGGAGGCGGAGGCGCTAGGCGAGGCGGCGCCGGCGCACGTGCAGCGCACGCTGGACAACACGCGCGAGGCGGACGACACGATGGTCCAGCCGGGTGACGAGGAGGTCGCCGCGGAAGACTCGTTCGACGAGTTCTCCGCCCACTTCTCTGGGGACGTGCCGCCGCGCACGCTCGTGACCACCGGGCGATATCCGTCCGACAAGCTGCTCGGCTTCATGGAGGAGATGGTGACGCTGCTTCCGAACTGCGAGTACCGCCAGCGCGGCGCGGTGCCGCTCAAGCAGCTTGTCGACGCGTGCAACGAGCGCGGCTTCACCTCGCTCCTCGTCTTCACCGAAAACAAGGAGAAGAAGCCGCAATCGCTCTGGCTGGTCAAGCTGCCGTACGGGCCGACGGCGCGCTTCAAGGTCTCGTCGCTCGTCCTGCCCAAGCGCATCGCTGGGCATGGCCGTCCGACTGCCCACCGACCGGAGCTCATCCTCAACAGCTTTGGCACCCGCCTCGGGCACCGGCTCGGACGGATGCTGGCGCGCCGAACCCCCCCCCCCCTCCGCCCCCGCACCGGCCTCTCTGGCCGCCCGCCGCCCCTGGCCGCGCCGCGTCCTCTGCCCCCCCCCCC